GAGGAGGCTGGGGGCGGCCCGGGGGCGGCGGCCGGCGTCTGCTGCACCTTGCGCAGCGGCGGCGGGGGCTGCCGGGCAGGGGAGCTGCTCGGGTCCGTGCTGCGCGCAGGGATGCGCAGGGATGCGACCGCGTCCCTCCGGGGTCTCCGTGGGGGCCTCTGCCCCGGGAGCAGCGCTCTGCAGGAGCCTGCACGCCGGCTGCTGGCAGGGCCGTTTCCCAAAGCCTCCCCCTGCACCCCAGGGGAAGCAGCCCAGCTGGTGCTGCCTCTCTGCCGCCCTCTGAAGATGCAGCCCGAGAGTGGGAGCCGCAGCCTGGGCAGAGCAAACTGCCCGGGGGGGCCTGGGTCCCCTCTTCCCGCTGAAGGGCCAGCCCATCTGCTCCTGCCCGGGTGGGATTCACCGAGTGTCCTTTAAGCATCGCTTGGGTTTGAGCTCTCCTTTGCAATCTGTTCCCGTTAGCCCTGAGCAAGCTGTGGGTGCTGCACAGGCTGAGCCTGGGTGGCACCGGGCAGCATCGGGATGGGCTGTTTGCCGGGGACACCATCGCCACGCGTGGAGGGAGGGGAGCTGTATGCGCATTGTCCTTTCTGCCTGTTGTTTGTTTTTCCTTATAAACCAGCACCCCTGCCGTGGGTCATACCGGGGAAGGAGGTACCCGCGCATGGGTTTCCCTCTGGTTGCACCCCAGGGACCCCACGTGCAGGGAATACAGTCACACGTGCAGCACCTGCACCAGGCTAGGCTTGCTCTGCAGGGGATCAGCCTTGCGGTGCCACGGGGTCCTGCGACGTGCAGGAATGAGGTGATTAGACAGGTCACCGCACGCCATGGGTGCGCCCCAGGGAGAGGAGGGTTTGGAGCAGGAGAAGGAAAGCTGCGGGGCTCTGAGGGCAGCACCGCTCCGCATCCCTGTTGGCAGGTCCCTGGGTGCCGGGTCACAACCGGCTTCTCCTCGGGCTGGTGGAGAGACACGGGCTTTTCCAAAGTGACTTGTTGCTTGCTTTGGACATGTTGAGCTCAGGAGGAGCAAAGCGTCTTTCAGAGGGACAACCGCTCCTGGGTCGCAGGTGGCCTGAAGTGCTTGCCCAGGCTTCCCTGCTCCCTCTGCAGTGCCGGGGCGAGCGCTGGCCCGAGGAGCCTGTTGTTAGAGCCAACGCACCCTCCCGCGCCTGCACCCTGGGCTGCGCTCACATCCCCCCTTACCGACACATCCACATCCCAGCGGGCGCTCTCCGGTGCTCGGGCACGGGTCCACGGCCCTGGAGGAGGACCCAGCCGCCCGGCTGCTGCTCAGCTGGCGTTTTGGCCGGACAAGGGTGTTGGCGAGAGGCTTGAAGGTGCTACGGGCTGCTTGGAGGAGGAGGAGGGCAGCAGCCACCCTAGCCGAAAGCCTGTTTGTTGCTAGGGAGGAGCAGCCCCTGCGAGGCAGGAGGTGACGCGGGACAAGCGATCGCAGATGAAAGTCCCTCGTGGCGGGGGTGGAAGGGAGGAGAGCGGCAGGACGAGGCTCCGCTGTCAGACATGCCCTGGCTCGGTGACGGGCGGCTCTGTCCTGCGGGTCCCCAAGGGAATCTGGCCTGGGCAGGTCCGAGCCCCAGGGACGGATGGAGAGGCCAGGACAATCGGCTCCCGTCAGGCGAATCCTGCGCTGCAGAGCTCCTGCCAGCGCTGCCGTGAGCACGGCCCTGTGCCCCGCCAGGCGATCCTGCCGTCGGGGAGGCCGGCAAAGAGCTGCGGGAGGTGACAGCGCCCGAAGGGGCGTACAGAACAGAGCCGGGCCGAGAGCCGGGTGCACCGGCACCCCCGGGCCCTTCCCGGGGAGCTGGGCCGGACCGCGGCTGTGCCAAACGGGGCAAGCGCGGCTTCCTCCCATCCCCGTGTCCCGCAGGCGGTTCTCGGCGTGCCGGCCCCGCAGAGCTCTGTTACCCGGCCCCAGTCCTGCCCCGCGGCTGCAGGGCAGCTCCCGGTGCCCATCCCGCCTTTCACCCCCGTAGCTTTTATTCATTCCCCCTTGCCCACCGCACACGCGTGTCACCCCCGCCAGCCCCACGCGAGGTTTGGCTGCGCGAGGTTTGGCTGGCGCGCTGCAAAGGCCCCTCCCCGGCGCCGGGCAGCCGGGGGCAGCGAGCCCCGGCC